GTAGATAAAGAATGGATACATCTCCGCCATTACAAACGATTATGAGCCATGTCATTCAAAGTCTCTAACCATTGGTTACTATCGTCTCACGGACTCCAACTAAGGTAGTCTATACCAACCAACATGACTCAGTCCACTTGTCAGTGACTTCATGGATTTGTGCCATGTTTTGACCTGTCCAGCCCACCTCCATACCAGGCATCATCGTCTGCCGAGGCATTCGGTGGTTGGATATTCGTAACACATGTCGTCTTAAGCACTTCAACTGATGAAGATTCACTAGATCATCATTTGATCTGCAATCCTTACGCAATAACTCTTTTTCTTCACTGTCAAATCTATCTATCTATCCAAAATAATCTCATTTCAAAATTTACATTATTTCTTCAATTTATTTTATCCCTAATACATTTTAATGATAAGATTTAACAGAAATAATGAGAAAAAAATAAATACTTATACATTTTATTTTCATACAATAATGCCTTGATGATAGTTTCTGTTTTTATTGTAGATCAACATGTAAACCTATTTGTGATTCCAATGAGAAAATGGGAATATATATTTTTCTTTTTTTTGTGAATAGAAAGCAAACGAAAATATTCTTGTCAACTTACAATTTTTTTGGATTAGTTAAAGTCGAATTTCTTTTTTTTTATAAAAAAAAAGGAGAAAACGCAATTTGATACAAACACAAATTCTGGATTAGATTGTCAACATTTCTTGGCAGTTGACACAAGATAAGTCAAGTTATCTTCCACCCAAGCATAAATCCAATCACTGGACTTATTTTGTTAAAATCAAAATGATTTTTAAAAAAATGCATGAGTTATTGGTCGCTTTGCTCAAAGTTATCAGTGTTAGATTCATACATTTTAATCTGTGTTCAAAAGAAACCAACTTGCTACAGAGTTTCTTATGCATAAATCATTAATATTGTAGTTAAATTGTAGCTACTAGACAAATGTGTTTACCCACAGTTGTCTAAGCAAGCTACTATGTGTCCGTTGACCAAACACTATCAGCAACCTACTATGGGAGTGTTGGGATATTCATCCGATATCTCAAGATAATTGTTTGTAGGTCTAATCCTATTGGTCAATCCCGATTGATCGTGATAACTATCAATGTCACATACTTCAATGTTGTTTCCCGTTGGTTGTCCTAACTGTCAGTGTCACAGACTTCCATGTTGTTTCATATTCAACCTAAATGTATAAATACGTATTATCTGTAACACTTTATGACCCGGACCCGGATCCCTAGTTCGGGATCCTTAGCCTTTTATAGGACTCGGACCTCATACATTCTGGATGTTTGTAGAATACATGTTCTACTACATATCAAGTCTTCTTCTTTTACTCAATGGGGGTTCGAGACGCTCGGATCAGAGTAGCCTGTCGTGTCGTCGGATCATCGATCCTCGCTCTCGTTTTTTGACTAAGGTGAAGTCATTATAGTTCAAGCATATCAAATGACGTGTTCAACGTTCATGCGTAACAGGCGGAGAGCAAACCGAATTCCACTTTAGGAAGACATTACAAGCCCTGGATGTAGATAGGACAAACGTTGTGCAAATCCCCAAACTACATCATAAGGCAAGTCCAAACTTAGAATCCTTAAGGCCAAAAGAAAAGCGGAAGATCAAAAAACACAATGCTCTGGAAATTGATAACAATTGGAAACTACTAGAAAGGTGAATAGGAAATACGAAGTTGGTTAGAGAATTCTGATTGGTGGCCAATACCTTACAAAGAGTAACAGGCGTAAGTAAGTAAGTAGGTAATTATATAAATCTGATCAACGAACATTTACTTGCATCTCAATGCTGATGTACATGATGAAAAGTGAACTCTAAGTCTACAAAACTACAACATCAACAAAGAATCTTTTTCAGTCATCAAATTCAAATAATTTAATAAGTCTGTAATTTTGTTTAAATTCATTCATAGTTTAAAAATCACATAACATAAAATATGATACAAGATAATAGTTACTTCTAAGTCATGAATAATAATTTTGAACAGTTGTCAGTTTATTAAAAATTACAAGATAATTAAAGTTATTTACAACAGAATAATGCAATCATCTTCATTCTACCGATACGTCACACTAGATAAGTCCTAAATTGTAATTCTTAAGGTCAAAGGAAAAGAGTTAGACCAAAGTGAACATTGTGATGAGGATTAGAGTCAGTCATTAAGAAAAAATGAACAGCAATCGGATAGAACTGGAAAGGAAGGCTTGAGGTAGAGTAAGTTGGAGACTGATGGTTGGTGGCCTCCTATGCCTCATTAGGGGTAACAGGATTAAGTAAGTGATTTCTTCTGATACACTAGAATTATGACTAACGGATATATTAAAAAGTGTTTAAATAATCATGGACACCCTCAGACAGACAGACAGATACAATGCAGAACTTCATACGTAAGTACATCAGTTCAGGTTGCCCTGACCCATCAGCACAGAGACACAACTGTCAGTTCAAATCCAAGAGTGATAGTGATAGTAGGAGTATTAGCAGTAATGGAGAAGATGAGGGAGAGAAGATATGAGACGAGAAGTATAATTCAGTAAGATAAATTTAGAAGGAGAAAGATAGAGATTATGAGGAATTCAGAAGATTAGAATTACAGAGAACACAAAGAGTGGATATGCACCTGCACCATTGCAAACGATACTGAGCCATGTCACTCAAGGTGACTTTCGTCTCTCGGACCCCAACCACGTAGCCTACATCTACCGACATGACTCAGCCCACTTGTCAGTGACTTCATGGATTTCTGCCATGTATATGACAAACGGATATATTAAAAATTGTGTTTAAATAACAATGGACACCCTCAGAAATGTGTTGACAAATACAAGAAAAACCGTAGAAATACGAAATCCCGAAAAAACTACAGTAAACAAAATATCTTTTTCTAAGCAATGTAAATTCAAAAGTTATGATTTTACAGGGACAATCAACATCAAACTAAAAACTGCATTTATAAAAATATACTCTGCAATTAAACTGATTTTCTTGTCCAAAAAACACAATCCAAGATCCATAAGTATCCTCTATTCATGTTATTGTCAACTAATGACACATATCCATAGGTATCTGCCTAAGTAATTACTTTATTAGAACAAAAATAAAGGCCTAAGTCTGATTCGAAGAACATATTTCAAAAAGTTTACGATCAAGTGGATTAGAAGCATTTGGCAGTGCTACCTTCAGACATCTCCTTGATACAGGACATTAAGTGAATGCACTGAAGCCCTTCAAGTTGATCAATAATTAATCGAATCCCCATCTTTTAAAATATCCCGAATTTAAAGTCATCAAACGTCTGCAACGAAACTCATATGTCTTGCGCGCGAACGCCTAACCATTGGACAACTGGGCTGGCATTCAACGGTGTTAATGTCTAACTCGGATTGATCTACGGATTTTTACGTGACCTCACCCATTTGTCTTTGGTAGTTACTGCCTACACCTGACAGGGTTGAACTCCACTGGTCACGTTTTCTCACTAGAACTTCGAGAATTTCTTCACGAAACTAGTTACCACTAGTGAGCACATTTTACGATCTTTTCAATCGGAGGTATGGAGATAAGTGTTTTTACACATTTGAACTCGTAATAGCATTCAAGCATATCAACTGGTGACAAGCATAACAGCTAACATTCATCTCATTTCGCATCGATTCATTAATTTGATTCTAATTCATTGAGTTCAAATCATTTTTTACTCTTTATTATTACCATGAATCTATTCTGAATAATACTTTATTGCACAACCATCGAAAGTTTGTTCAGTGTGTGATTTTCAATCACCACACTTCAACAATGTTCTAGAAACTTTCCTTCTCAAACTCATATTGATCAGAGAAATCGATTTTATTTTTACGATGTTTATGAACTTTATTAAAAAGTTCACTACATTATGATACATTTATTTCATCCTTAATCACCTTTTATCTTTATAAATTTCACAACCCCGTAATGCTTTATAAATTTATCAGTTTTAATAGATTGTAAGCACTAGGGGTTGTATTCAGAGATTTTCAAATCTTTCTAGAAGAAGAGTTTAACTCTTAAATAAGTGAGATACCGTGGAATAGTTTAAAAGTCTAATCATTTCGGAACATTGTTCAACCATCTCATTGAGTAACTGCCCTACAGCAAATATCACTAAAACTCTATTAGAGATAGATTCTCACTGGAACTCTAAGAATTAGCTCTTAAAACTAGTCACTAGTAAGAAATATGAATAAGACTACTGTGGGAAGTTTTTGGGTAGGGCACACATTTCAGGAAAGCCCCCAAATGCGTCACAAGACAAGCCATCATTCGGACTCATCAAGGTCAAAGGAAAAGTGGAAACCAAGAAACACATTACGCCGAGAAGCGGAAGCAGACATGAGAAGAATGAATAACAATTGGACAGAACTAGAAAGGGAGGCTCAGAACAGAGTAGACCGGAGAGTGTTAGTCGGTGGCCTATACTCCATTAGGTGTATAATAGGCGTGAGTAAGTAAGTATGTGTTAAGATGTTCATCAAATATCCTAAAGAAATTATTTTGTAAGTCTAATTCTATTGGTCAATTCCTATTGGTCAATAATTAAGGTCATCCTAAACTATCAAGTTCACATACTTTTAAATATTGTTTCCTATTGGTTAGTATTCACGGTCAACATAACTGTATAAATATGCATCGTCTGGTAAGTTTTATGCTCCTCTTCTTCTTGTGGAATACACTTTCTACGCCATATCAAGACTTTTCCCTCTACTTAGTGTGGCCTTGGGACGCTCGAATTAGAGTAGCCAATATCGGGTCGCTGAATCGCTTGTCTTAGCTCTCGTTTACTTACTAAGATGAACTCACAATAGTTTCAAACATATCAACTGGTAACGAGCATAACACTATGCGAAGAAGTAAGGAAGACGGGAAGGTTATTTTCATTGCAAATGATCAATTGAATACCATTAATTAACAATTAAATTTTTACCTGTTTGTATTCGGTAAGAACAATCTGATTGTCGTTCAACATTATAATGATGTACACGACCTAAATGACATATTGACACAGCATAATTACGATTGACTGATTCACGTAATAAGAATAAACCTTCTTTAGCTGCACCATTGATAAATAATAATTCCTCAGCTTGTTCACGTGTAATTTTACCATAGAAATAATTCACTGATTCCGGTGGTATAGCACCAGGTAATAATGTTAATAAATGTGCTGGTGTAACTACAACATTATGATTTGTTAAATTCATATTATTCTAATTTAGGGAAATATATGGTTTTTTTTTTGATGTATTGAATGTGTGTTTTGGTTGTGTTGGTTCGGATTAGGGTTTTGTTTAAATTATTATTATTATTATTATTATTATTATTATTATTATTATTATTATTATTATTCAATGTACAATAAAATTCAATTGATAACACATTGATTTGGTGGTAGTAGTTGTTAATCAGTAGACATGTTCACTAAAAATAAAAAGATGAAAAATTGAGAAAACTCATGAATATTAAACAATCTTTATTTCAGCAAAGATTTTGTTTTTATCATTGAAATCATGAATCAGACATTGATAGACTACCATTAGAAACTTGGAAGCATTGGACGGCCGTCTCATCGTGGAACAGAGCACATCAACAGTGCGCATCCACGACTCCTGTCTGCTAGAATCGAACTCGACACTTTCAGTCTGGCACGTGTACGCTTAAACTCAAGACCACTGACCCGGCATCCAACAATGTTAATGTCTAACTTTTATCAATCTAAGGTTTGACACATCCTCACCAATTGTCTTCGGTGGGTAACTGCCTTACACACGACAGGGTTGAACTCCACTAGTCATGTCTTCTCACACTAGAACTCCAAGAATTTCCTTACGAAACTAATCACTACTGAGCATATTTTACAATTTTTCATTATTGATTTATAGAAATTCTTGTTTGCCATTGAAATCATGAATCAATCATTATTTTCGTTATTTAACAAAAAAATAATTAGCCAAACATTCAATCTGAGCACAGTTTATTTATTGATTAAAACATCATTTAATATATTATATTTGGTAACTTTAAAAATATCCTATAACTCAGAACATCAAAATTTCTGTCAATGATTAAACTCAAAACTTCTAGATTTTGGTTTAAGTTACAATATGTAGAACGCAATACATACATACATCAATTCAAATTTATCATTGATCTAAATAGCAGGGAAACATCAAAGTGTCAAATCGCATTCCAGAGTAGCACAGAATTAGTGCCGATATTAGTAATAACGGGAAAAATTAGGAATTGAAGATAAGATTCCAGAAAATCGATAACTCAATGAAGTAAATAATTCCTGTGGAGATAGCTATATCGGCCTTACTACCAGGCAACTTAACCAACGAATGAGTGAACATCTCCCAGCATGGTTTAAGAAGGGTCAGTCGAAAATAATACGCAGTTAGATCTTAGCACACCTGGTTGACAGTGGTCATATTGTAGATAAGTCTAGATCTTTTCGGGTGACAAATAAATAATTAAATTGTTATGAGGAACTGACAGGCTAAGAATCTGAGGTGTAGCAAGAAAACAAAGGTTGGAGATATCTTCACTATTGTAAGCCATTTTAAACCATGTTGTTCAAAGTCTATTGATAATTTTTTCCATCCCAGTTCAGATTACTTTCACAGTTTAAACGAAAATAGCGGCTAATTACTGTCTTTAATTTCTATAGTTTAACTCATCGTCAGTTAGTGGTGATATAAGTAATTTTCGAATTAAGTAGTATATGCTTCCATATCGATATTTGTTCAATGCTAAAGGATAAATGTTCATATTCAATATTCAACAACAGTGGGACATCTTGTATTTTCGAGTACTTTTTTCCATTTATTAAACATGTCAGTGTAACATAAAGCATGATAATTTTTATAACTGATTTCATTTTAACCGCCTGAAACTATCTGAAGATGTATTCCGTAAATTACGCTACTATAGTGAGCTATATTTTGCAGTGTAGGAGTAGGTTGGAAGAAACATAGGGGCGGACAAATCAAAACATGGCACAAATCCATGAAGTCACTGATAAGTGGACTGAGTCATGTTGGTAGATGAAGGCTATGTGGTTGGGGTCCGCGAGACGATAGTAACTGATGGTTAGAGACATTGAACGACATGGCTCAGAATCGTTTGGAATGGCGCAGATGCATCCACTCTTTGTGTACTATGAAATTCTAACCTTCTGAATTCCTTATAAATTTATCTTACTGAATTGTACTTCTCGACTCATATCTTCTCTCCCTAATCTTCTCCATTACTGCTAATAATTCTACTATCACTATCACTCCTAGATTCGAACTGACAGTTACGTCTGTGTGCTGATGTGGTATGGCAACCTGAACTGATGTACTTACGTACGAAGTTCTGCGTTGTATCTGTCTGTGTAACGCTACTATAGTTCATTCCGACTTGTTGAATGGAAAATGAAAGTTGACGCTTGAAACAAAATGCCTCAATAGAAATTAACGCTCTTTTATGCACGAAATGTATAGCGAAATGTATAGATATTACACAGATATTTTGAACAGTGAGAAGAAAATGCACAGCAAATTCACAGACCAATAGTATGTTATCAATTTCAATAATGCAAACTAAACTATGTACCGTTAGACAGATGTATTTACTTATTGACTGATTGATTTAGAGGACATGTCTCAGTCATTTTCAGATATATTCATTTTGATAGTAATGATTATTATTGCTATTACTATTCCCTTAACTAATTCATTTCCTTCATTCCAGATTACTTGTTCGCAAAAGTTTCCCATTACACAAAATGTCTACGGAAATATACATCATGGGTAATTTTCGTCAAGGTTAACAAAACCAGCATGGCCAAAAAACAGAAGGAAAGTCTAGTTATTGGATAAATAAAAGTACGCACACATACACATGTATATACATTTATATGTATATATGCAAGCATAATAAAGACTTCAACACACACACACACACACACCAAACCATATACCGACATACACTAAGCATAAAAACACAACTGAACATAAACTACCACTAAACAAGTACCTGTAGTAGTTGTAATGTAATGTGAGAATACAAAGTAGACAGACAGAATACAAGAAACCTAAAAATGAATTCACTGAGTCATGCATGCATAAGTGAATTGACTAACTGTGATATATACATATACATACAAGTACACTAACATGTCGAACACACTGACTGACTTGGCCAATAAACAAACAACTGATATCCAGTAAATGCTAAAACTATGTATCAATAATAAAACATGTGGATTTAGAGAGTTTCATGTTAAGAGAAAAAATAAACACATTTTTTTCTTCAGAGAAATCAATTCAGACTGGCGTTTACAAAGTATTTTATCAACCAGATTAAAGCATATTTCATGCAAGATCATGTTGAAGCATTCTGATTGGCATATATTCTTTATCCAATCAGAGTGAGTGGATAAAAATGTACTAACATTTTCAATTTATTACTAGTTCTTCCACAATCAACTTAGAGTTATTTGAATAATAATGATAATAATAGTAACAATAATAATGATTACAAACTTGTTTAAACCGTGTTCCGAGAGTCAAGTAAACCAGTCAAAAGAATACTTAGGCAATAAGAGCAGCTGGGTCGTATAAATACAGCGAGGAATTTTGACAGTTTGTATCTTGAGTACTTTTTTCGGAAATTACGTTGACTGTCAGATGATTGGAGGTAGCCGACAAACTTAGGCTTTATGTTATTATCAACAAAGTATGCCTGTAATCACTATGTAACCTCTCAAAATGACGCATATCATAGACCAGTGAACACATTTTTACTATCTAACTTCAATTAATCCAGGGTATTGCTTGCTCAACCTCACTCATTGTCTTCGATAGGCAGTGATTTACATCCAACTGGGTTGAACTTCACTGATAACGACTTCTTACTAGAACTCAGAGAAACCTCCTCATGAAACATAGCCAGTGGAGTTCAATCCTGTCAGGTGTGAAGCAGTGCCACCTGAAGACAATGGATGAGGCTGCGCAAGACCATGAATTGATCGAAGTTAGTCATTAACACTGTATGAGAATGGTTGGCGATAAAATTCCAGTCTCATTGTTTCATTGCATTTATTGTGTCATCAAGATGTTGAATGTTGTACACTACTACACTATCATGTTATGATAGTGGTGTGTGTACAGGAGGCTGGAGCATATTTAATCACTTGTATGATAATGTCAATTATATTATTGAATATTAACAATTCGCTCCTTATTTTAAAGTGATTTTGACTTGAATGATGAATCCATTTTTTTGAATAGTAATAGTATGATGAATGTTAATCTTGAAGTTTAGACAATTGACAATATTTCCAATAAATCGTTTGATACACTTTAAGTTGGATAGAGCCAGGATTTAGACTACATGATGTTATAAATATATATACATACACACAGTGTTTATGTGTTTAT